CGATTCTTATAGGATTACGCTAGTCCTAGGTGAAATCTTCTATAATATTATTGTTTAGAAAACCTTAACACAACTGTCTGGTTTTATTGTGTCAAAAAAAGTGAAACCCTATTGGTCTGATAGGAAAAAATGATAAATTATTTTGAACAATAAAATTAATGCAAAAGAACTATTGTGCTGAATAAAACAAAGAGATCAGTATTCTAATCATAACAAATTAGGGACACCCCATAGCATTGGGGAGTTTAGCCTCTTATAAAATTCAAAAAAAAAACAATACAAATGATAGAGTTAGACATTACAAAAATTATGGATTCTTCGATCTTCAATTGCTATCGCACAGGAAGGATTATTCGTTTCCCAAGCTCTTGAATCTCCACTCTTCTATCGTCTTAATTTTTCCATCATCAAAAAGTGCCTTCTCCTTTTTCTCAATCAGGTCTTTGTAGTATTAGGCTATCCCCTAGCAGTGTCAAATGTCCAGAATACCCTTAATACTCTAAAACATTTAAAAATCCCAAGAATTAGAATTTATAGTGCCTAAGTTGACACGGGTCGTGTCATCGGACACGGGCACCTGTGTTAGCATCTGTGATGTCCTTTGCACCCTTTTTGCTCAGCTCAATTGACATGGGCCGTGTTGTGTGACACAGGTGCCAGTGTGACCCTCTGCTTGGATTTTTAACACCTCTATTCCCATCTTCTCCTGACACGGGTGGCCATGTCAGGGTCTCTGCAGCTTCCATATTTCCTTCGCCTTTGCACAAATTCTCCAGAGATCTTTACCTGCACCTGTGATTACCAACAACTAACAAACCAAACCATCAAAAGCATCTAGCCGACATAAAATCCAAATAAAAACCACATCAAAATAAATTTGCAAAATATAAAATGACTTAAACAAAATGATAAAAAGATAAACCAAAGTGTTACAAATTTGATGAATTTGTACAAAATAAGTGACTGAAACGAAGTAGAAATGGTGATCGATCAAGCAACCACTGTTGGCAGAAGAATTTGTTTTGAAATTCGCAGAGCAGGCTAAGCGCAAAATTCGCGCTAAGCGCGGCCTAGGAGTTTTTGAGAAAACTTCCCTATGTTTTGTGATGTTATTTTTGGCCTGAGATGGTTTTTTAAGACTTCTTGACATTGATTTTACAGGATATAATTTTTCATTGACAATTTTGTGTTGTTTTGGTTGTGGTTTTGTTAAATTTTTTAGATGGGTCCTAAACTTTTAGGAAGGAAGAAGAAAAATACTTCTGCTGGTGCGGGTTCCTTGCAAGGACCCCATGTTGTTTCATTTAACCGAGAGAGATTTGTAGGGCCATAGCAAGAGGAGATGTATCAGAAGCTGGAATAGAGAAAAGTTTGGACAGAAAGATTTTTGCGGATAGTGAATGATGGGAAGTAGAAGTCTTATTGGAAGTTATTTCATGATAGGAATTGTGACATGTTGTGTGATCCGGAACCAAAGTTAAATTTGGAGATTTTTTACGAGTTCTATGCAAATGCCTTACCTTCACATGGTGGTCGGTTTGAGTTTAAGACTTGGGTGCAAGGTGAAGAAATTTATTTTCCAAGGAGTGTCATTAATCAATACCTTGGAATCCCTTCCACCTTAGCCGATGACGAGTTATACGATTATCATGATATATCGGATAGAAATGAGTGGGATTTTGAGAGTGTGAAAAACAAGTTGTGCTTGTCGGGGTTTTCGTATGAGTTAACTCCTGGAGGAAGACCCAAAAGTTTGTTAGAGGTAATTTGAAGACAAAAGCTCAATTGCTCATGATCGTGGTCTTGTATAACATCATGCCTCGTAGTCATACTTCTTCCATTCCTGTGGAAGTTGGTGGTCTTCTTGCTTGCATCTTAGAGGGAAAGACTGTGGGTGTGGGTAGACTTATAGCCAATGAGCTGAAGAAGGTTGCTCTTAGTGGTACTAGCATGGGTGATCGGACTACAAGTCAGCTTACCTACCCTGGATTGTTTATGGGTTTGTGTAAGGGGGCACGAATGCTTATTCCTTCTGTTGGTCATCAGGTGATTAAGAGGGTGATTGATGATAGCTTCATTAAGAGGTTTTGTATGCGAAAATATGAGATTCCTGCAGCAACTGTTGTTCCTGTGGATGCATCATCGCCTCCTGGTTATGAATATTCTTGGGCCATGCATGAAGCCCATCCCTTTTATGAGTGTATGTTCACCATAATAAGACTGTGGCTACCTTTTTCTGAATTTTGAGTTCCTGGACTTACATGAAGGAGTTTCAATTTTGGATTGAGGACAAGTTTTAGAAGCCCTTCCAAAACAACATTCATGATCAAGGGCTTATTTCCTTTCACTCTAATTATGCTTGGGTTAGCCATTTCACCAACGACTAGGGCGGTTTTCTTAGGCGTTTCGTACTAGTGAATCCCCTTACACCGGAGGACCATCTTGCCTTCTGGTATGATCCGATTACGTCTTCTCGCTTCTGTAAGTATAAATTCCTGAAATATTAGTTTTGGCATCACTTTCGTTCTACTATCAATTCTTATCGCCTCAAACGAGTTCCCCTCTCTGCTGAAGAGATTACAATGAGGGAGGAATTGCATTTCCTGTACCAGGGACTTGTTTAGGAAAAGGAGTTCAGGCCTAGTGAAGTGGCTTATTCCTTGTAAAGGAAGAAACAAATTGATACACGCACCATTGTGAGTGCGCCAATCATGTAGAGAGGAAAATGATTTTTGGTGAGGACGGAGTCCCATAATTTCTTTTTTTTTACATGTGTGATTGTATCTTGCACATAATGTGAATAAATTACATATACTTTACAACTTGCCAATGCTCAAGGCATCAAGACTGGTTTGGCAGGCTAGGTCTTTACGTCCCCTTTTACGACTTATGCCCCTACCCCACTGTCGAGGCTACCGCAACTTCCTTTGGGGTTGATCAACTTACAAGTGTTGTAACTACTTTATTTGTGGAAGATATGTCATAGTCTCCTGCTCCTGTGAAGAGGGGGTAGATATTGTTAGAACAAAGTTTGGTTCTAATCATATCTTAGAGTTTTGATGATAACAATGAAATAAATTTTATAAAATATACTTTATACTCTGATGTGTATGTTCTCTAGATACAGATGATATTCTGACTCATGCATATCAAAAGAGAAACATCATTCTACGCAAGTCAAAGCAAACTCTGAAGGAAGCACTCCAACACAAAATATGATGGAAAATAAATCCTAAGCAACCTCTGATAAAGCCAGCTGAAGCAAAGATTTGAATGAAGCACGCTGAAAGCAACATCTGATAATGCAAGCTGAAGCAAAATCTGATGAACATAATATGAAGAACACTCTGATAGAAGAAAAGTTTAAGTAAACTCTGAAGTGGCAATGCTGCAAGCAAACTCTTAAACTTCCAGAGACAAGCTCTAACAATACCGTTGGTCATTTAATGCTAAGACGGCTAACGCACTCAAGTGATACTACGCACGAGAACATTGGAAACATAAAGACCAAGCCAACACGCTTCATTAATGCATACACTCTCTTCAAGGCAGCAATGGTCAAGACTGAAAGTTATATATAGAAGATCATTTGTTTCAAAGAAAGGTTACTGATCCACAAGAAACATACTAACACTCACTTCTTTCATTCTTGTAAACTAATAATGTATAGTGGGTAAATCTTAAGTATTGGGCAACAATCTTAGTGATAAATCACAGTTTGTGATAAAGCTTATTAGAAGCATTCTGTTTCACTACTATTAAGAGATAGTTTTTGTAAGTGTTCCTTGAGAGACCAGTTGGGTCAGATTTCTCAAGAGGGCTAGGACTAGTTGAGTCTTAGAGGTGTTAGTCACTTCCAGTTGGCTTGTGCATTGTATTGTTAGTCACAACATTTTGGTTGTGCATTTGTAATCAGTTTGATTATAGTGGATTAAGTCCTTGTAGAGAGAGACGAAATCACCTTGGCGGGTGGACTGGAGTAGTTTGAGTTTCAAACGAACCAGGATAAAAATATATGTGTCCTTCCATTAGTATTACGCGCGAAAAAGGAAAAACTTATTCAACCCCCCCCCCCCCCCCTTCTAAGTGTTTTCTCATCCTTCAGAGATGAATACCAGCATTCCCATTTGAAAGAGGGTTCTCCAAAATGGATTGTCTAGGGACGTTGCTTTGGGGCCGATCACTCCCTTCCTCTGCCTGCTTGTCATTCTTCCTTATCAGATTCCTCAGACTCTTGAGGAAGTTGATGTTACTATGTTTATGGAGGATATGTCTTTTGTCGAAAACCTGTCTGAGGTGGAGATGATAGAACTCATTTCTATGGTCACATTCCGCACCTACCAGAATGTTCTTTGTTCTCCCTGGCCGTTGTTGGCAGATGTGGCGTCATGGTTGTAGGTAATCCTTTCCAGGAGAGGGACACTTGAAAAGGAAAATACTAAAAATTGTGTGTGTTGTGCTTATATCTAATGACCAGCTAAAATTTTCTTCGTGGGATCTAACACCTCAAGCAGATTCTCGTCTGATTAGATCCAACAATAAAAAATATACTTGAGGTCGAAATCACATCTCCTTAATTAGGAGTGACGACTCACCTATTCTAATTGTCTTTATGTGTAATAGTTGTTATTGAGTATTTCATCGTAAACTTTATGAATGGTCGGAACTATTTTTAAAAGTATATATTAATGATACTTAGGTGTTAATCCTCCTTAACATCCATTTATAGAAAATAGCGTATTTCTTCAATTTTCTTTCTTCTAACTCTCTCATAAACCAAACAAAACAAAACCAAAAATTGAACCACTGGTCCATTCAATCAAACCTACTTTGACCAGAGAAAACCAAACCCGGTCCAAATTCCAACCGAATCTCAGAATCCACAATAGAAACTTTTCACTCCCAAACCTTAGAAACACAAAATAACCTCTGCACCGTTGTGTGCCTCACTCAATTCCACGAAACCCTAACCCTATTTCGCCTCTTCAAATCCCTCTCCAATGGCGAACAACGATTCACAATCCGATAAAAAGCCCCAAACCCGATTCTACAATCCATACAAAGACCTCGAAGTTCCCAGCCGAAATCTCTACCAGCTCCCAACTTCTCCGGAGTTTCTCTTCGACGAGGAAGCTCTCCGTAAACGCCGTTCCTGGGGCGAGAATCTCACCTTCTACACCGGATGCGGTTACCTCGGCGGTTCAATCGCCGGTGCCGGAGTTGGACTCGTAAACGGAGTTCGATCTTTTGAATCCGGCGACACCATGAAACTCCGCGTTAATCGTATACTTAACTCATCCGGACATTCGGGTCGGACTTGGGGAAACCGTGTTGGGATCATTGGGTTGATGTATGCTGGAATCGAGAGCGGGATCGAGGCGGCTAGGGATACGGATGACGCCTGGAACAGCGTTGCGGCGGGTCTTGGCACCGGAGCATTATACAGAGCGGCAAGAGGGGTGAGATCGGCGGCAGTGGCCGGAGCTGTGGGTGGAGTTCTTGTTGGAGCTGCTGTCACGGCCAAACAAGCATTGAAACGATATGTGCCGATATGAAATGTGAGTGTGAGATTTGAGATTTAATCTTAAAAATCAATTTTGAGAGATAAAAATTGGTGTTAGTTTTAGTTAGTAGAATATATAGAATTGTTTAAAGAAGTTATATACCATATATGTTATGGTCATGGTAGTTATGTAGTTAATGGTTCTGTCGCAAACTATTCGTTTAATGCCATATTTTTTCAGCTGGATTCTGGCTTTCTGTTCTATATCTAATGTGTCACATTGTGAAGTCGTCGTCGAATAAATAATTATAATTATTGGGACGAAATTTAATTTAAAAGTGTATATATCATTGATTAATCTTTTGTTTTTTGCTTGATCTTTTTTATGTGATGGGTTTAGCTGGATCAATGTGTATGACTTGAATGACTGGGTTGAAAGATTTTGCAGGCATTTGATCATAGTTAAATTGAAATATATTTTTCGGTATAAAACAACAACAACTACTACTTTGCTGTTCATTGTAGAGTTTTCTGTGGAAGATATTGTAGGAACCTATCAGAGGAGTTTTTCAAGTATTTGGTTCCATTTAGTGCAATATTTTTTATTTGTATAGTAACTATACTTTTATTGATCTCCTTTAGCCGCCTGCACCTTAGCTTCTTCTGTGTGCTTTGAAGGTTATGTACCTCAGTTGATTGCAGCTTCTTCCTAGCTCTAGTTGTATCATGAGCTTCTTTTTGGCAATGTTGATTACTCTTGTTATGTTGAAATGAGCATATGAACAAGAGGTTAATAATAAACAGCTATTTTCCTCGTGAGTGTGTTGCCTTTGTTTTTGCCAAACATCGGTAGTAGTTCGGAAAGGGGGTATTTGATTGATCATATGCCAGAGGTTATTTCTGTTCTGGTCATGGGGCAAATGCTAGGGCGAGTCACCTTTCCGTGTCTCTCGTAATAGAGAGTAAACCATCAATCTAGCCCTTAGTATCACTTTCTCTCCTACTTAGTCTCAAGTAAATAAAAATCGTAAGTAGTCCTTAGACTATATGAAATCTATTAATTTAACTTTTAAATTATATGAAATATATCAAATTAAATCCTGCTATTATATATACATTGATGAGAGATACTAGAGACTAAATAGATGAATTTTCATATAGGTTAGGGATTAGTTTGACATGTATGAAACAAATGGAAAGGGAATACAAGAACAAAGCATCGATGTCATATTTATCTAGTCTTACTAAATGGGACTTGCTTAAGTTCTATAGCACAGAAATTGCCTGGCTATTGTTTCATACAAATGATTGTGTCTTATCTCATGCTTCCTTAACTTATGTCATTTTTATCTTTCGCCCTTTTCTCTTTTTTATTTCCTGGGGTTTCCTCAAGTTCAGTAAGAAATTTCAAAGATTAGGTCTTCCATGTTGCTGTTGCACTTGTTGACATCACTTCATACTCCCTATAAGACGCCTTACTTTGCAATGCATTTTTCAGAAAAATATATGCGCAGAGCAGTAAAGTGGATGCCCAACCCCTTTAAAATTTTAATTGTTAATTTTTTGTTGAATAATTGATGAATAAGGAGAAATAGTTAACCTAAAAAAATTGTTAAATGTATTTAGAAAATAAGAAAAACAGGGAAATCCTCTTGGGACGTAATCAATAATGAGGATTGAATTTGTACGCCTAGAAAAAAATGTGAACACGAGTTGTAACGTGTTGAGAAATTTTAACATATCTATCCCTTAATTGAAAAAAATGGAATTTCTTTTCCTATCCATATAGGTGTTTCCTAACTCCAGACGAAAATTTAAAAATGTTTCAAGTTTTCGGAAATATATCTTTAGATGCACCATGTTCATACATAATAAGCCTAAATTGTTGGCTTCTTTTTACTTTGCCAAAATTTGATTTGGAGATTCATCTTTGTATATGACTTAATCTTTGTATGTGGTTTAAAGTTTGTCTATACATGCATATTCAACTAATCATTGTTTCAAAATCAGGTTTTTTCAGAGATGCATCTCCGAACGCGTTCAATTGATATGTAACACGCGCCATATCCTCTCTCTTTTCATTTTCAAAAACTTTTGAGAACTTCTATTGGAGCCCGTGAACAATATTCTTTCGGTGAATATTTCAAGGAACAACAATACCTCTACTTCAATTTTTTCAATCACAACTCACTCCACCTACTACATTCAATATTTTGCATCCTCATCAACACTTTTTAAAGAAAGTTTCTCATTTAATTTATTTTGAGCTTTGATTAATATATCAGGTAAAATAGTTTGTTTTAAATGCATTAGGTAGTAGTAAGCATGACAACGGGGTGGGTCGTAGATGGTTTTTATTTCTCCCAAATCCAAATTCTCAAACAATCTCTGTTCCCCGCCTCAAACTCAAACGGAGATGGAGAATTAAAACTTAAATCAATCTCAAATGGGTTCGGTCCGGGTATCTCCGTCCTGATCCATTTAGTAAAATAATTTTTTTAATAGAAATATTTATTTTTTTCAAAATCAAATTACATTATAAATAATAATATAAAACAATCTAAAAAAATTTCATACATACATTTAAAATATTTTAAATAATAAATACAAATCAAATTATTAAAACACTGACCATATATTTAATATTCTAAATTATCAAAATATATATAATAATTTATATAATGAAATAAATGGGGTAGGTTCGGGGACGGGTTCGAGTTGGGTACTAGTATCTCCATTACCCAACTCATTTCCATATTTTATAATCGAGAAAAATTCAAACCTGAATTCAAACTCGGTGAAAGTGGATTTTTTCCGTCAATTTCATTGCGAATTTGGATGGTTACCTTCGGGTACGGATTTTGTTGTCATGCCTAGGTAGTAGTAACATTCGAAATAGGTTGTTGTTAGAAACTCTCCCTCCTTTGATCTACTCCAAACAGCATCGTCCACAGACATCTTACTGACATTCTGACAGGTTACGAGAGTCATCTGATATCAGAGGAATATCTGAGTATGTCAGTCACAAGTCATTGTTCTTAGGAAGATGGTTACATGAATTGGTTATTTTTTGTGTCACACCTTATCATGACACCAAACGTTCCTAGACGTCTGTCATACCTCAAATTTGCCATATCCTTATTTATGCTTAGGTTTTCTTTAAATAAATCGTATTATTTAATTTTTATATGTTATGAGGATGTTAAAGCATAAAAATAGGAATATGTCGATTTAAAATGGACCATCAATATCTGATAGTCCATTAGAATTTAAAATGAGAGTTCGTTTCTTGATAAGGGGGATATATGTTTTAGACAAGGTGTGAACAAATCTCTAAAAAGGTCCATTCAGGTTCTTAAATAAGGCTGAAAGGGTGTGTGAAGAATCTGTTTTTCGTTAAGACTCATAGCAAATTATTTGGGAAAAAACCCAATAGAGTGAACTTTTAATCCATTTTTTTTTGTTTTATTAAACTTTTGATTAAAAATGATTTTTGTTTCTTATTAAAAAAATGTTGAAAGTTCTCTTGCAAGTCCAAAAACATATCACAAGTCCATTTCTTTTTTGAAAAAACTGTTTTTTATTTATTATTGACTTTTTAAAGTGTTTGTTTTTATTTTTTTAGCAGGCCCAAAACGCCACGGGCCCTTTGCAAGTTGTTTTTTAATTTGTTTTGAAATTTTTTTTTAATATTATATCATTTAGATTTGTTTGATGTTTTAAAATGATTTTTTTACAAGGTCCAAACTAGCGATTCTTTTGTTTAAACTTGTTGTTGTCTCAAAACAAGCTTATGGTCCAAATAAAAAGAGTGGATCCGACCCAAATCAAACTAACACACTGCTGAGAAAAGGAACGTGCAGCCCAGATCCAAAAACACATATTGTAGCAATCACGCGCGTGAAAGGAAAAAACATGTTCATCAACCTTAATGAACGAAATAAAAAAACAGTAATTGCAGAAAAGAAATTTCAATTCAACCTGGAAACAAATTCATTGCAGAAGGCAAATTTTCTTATTATTACATACACGATTTTAAAAAAATTCCTATTTTAAAAAAACCTAATCAATTCTAAGAATTGATTTACAAACATATTCAATTCTTCTCTAATTTACTAGTTCTAACAAAACACTATAAAGTCAAAAGAAATCAAGGACAGAGGAAAAGAAAAATACAGTAAGAAAAAACAGTAAAAAGAGAAGAGAAAAATCAACAATAAAGGAAGAAAAGAGACTGCTATAGTCGTTGTCGCTGTTCTGGTCTGGGGTTTCGATACCTAAAACCCTCGTCGTCGCCATCACCATCTTCTCCCTTCAATTACCGCCATCTTTAGCTATATCCAATTACCTGCAAGATGATAGGAAAGGGATTAGTAATTGAGAATCCTCAGAATCGGACGAGAAACTTATTGCGACGAAGGTATCAAAATCACTCAGTTTTTGTTATATTTGATTTTGTTTTGAAAATCGTTAGAAAATTTGGGGGTTAAGGTTTACGATTTGGTTTGGGTTGATCTTGTACTGCTGCCATTGGTTTAGGGTTTAAGGTGTTGGCATTGTTATGCGGGTATAAGAAATGAGAGAGGACAGGTAAGAAGAAGAAGGAAGAAATAAAAATGGCGAGGGTGAGAGAAGAGGATGAAACTTGTTTTGTTAAGAATAAAATGTATTTGGCCCATTAGTCCGACCCGACCCAACTTTGCTAATTTTTAGTTATTGTTGTCTTTTTGTTATTGCGCATTTTGGGCCTTAAGTCCCCAGGCTCGGTCCGGTTTGATACCATATAACATTTTTTTTACATTTTATGTTAAATCGGTAAAAACAAAATAGATTCGGGCCTCACCCCTGCAACTGCTGGCCCATACGAATTTCTCCTGACTCCCTACCCCCCTTATTTTTATTGATCAGTTCAAATACACACCTCCCTGCCTCCTTGGCCTGAATTCAGGCCCGTGTTATTGAAACCCCCATTTTACTACCCTTTTATATTTTACACCCCCCTACGTTGTTTTAAAAAAATATTTCATTTACTTCATTTACTCTATTATTTTCATATTTTTATATTTTCCTTCAATTTCCTTCAATTGTAAGGAAAATATAAAAATATGAAAATAATAGAGTAAATGAAGTAAATAAAATATTTTATGCATGCATTTTATGAAGTAATTATTACAATTTAATATATTTATTTTTATACTTATTATTATTAATTATTACACAAATTACATTATTTTCTAAATTTATTAAAACACTATTTTTGTTAATTGCATTAAAATGTATTTTATGCATGCATTTAAATAGAATTCTGTTTTAAATAATTAACATATTAAAAATTATTTAACATATTACAAACTCATTTTTAAAAATTAAATCAATTCAATAATTAATTTTCAAAAAGGAATTACGAGTTTATTCGAATCAATATGTTTAGTCTAATAATTTCTGTTATTCACGACGCCTAGACTAAACGTACAGGGAATTCAAATATCTTCGTAGTCCATAAAAAACACAAATCAACCG